CATGCCGGTAATACTGATACTCAGGAAATTGGTCCTTTACTTTTCGAGTTCTAAATTTGAAATGTAGATCTCTTTAGACAATGACCTTCAGACATCACTATTCCTAGCCATGATCTTAAGGAATGAAACAAAGAGTCTTTTTCAATGCTATGTGGGAAAGCATGCGCCGGAAGAAAGAGTCCGTAAGTCGGATATTAAAATTACGAAACTCTCTGGTGTTTTCTTTGTAAAGAAAATGTTAGATTTAAGGAAAAAACCGTTTGTCATTTATATGAATATGCATTTGCATTTTATCGTACAGTATTCACATTGTTATGGGTTTAGTTGTTGTGTATGAATACATACAACGTTGTCTTGGTCAGTTTGTTTGTTTGTTTTCTGTTTAACGCCGCACTCAGCATTATTCCAGCTATATGACGGCGGTCTGTAAATAATCGAGTCTGGACCAGACAATCCAGTGATTGACATCATGAGCATCTATCCACGTAATTGGGATACGATGAAATGCATCAACCAAGTCAGCGAGCCTGACCACCCGATCCTGGACTGAACGAGCACTGATATGATTTACCATTATTGGAAGGTTCTACAAAGATTTAGGAATACTGCGGCCCTGACCAAACTGGTGTGCATCTCTACGATAGTTCTATCTTTCAAGATTGAGTCTTCAAGATTGACAGTCACCGCTTCATCATATGATGCTGTGTCCTTAGAAGCCGTCACCTCTGTGCAAGAGACTCTTTGTTACCTAATACCAGAGCCACCAATATATTACGTTTGTTTGTTTGTTTGTTTGTTTGTTGTTTAACGCGGCACTCAGCAATATTCCATCTACGTGACGGTGGTCTGTAAATAATCGAGTCTGGACCAGACAATCCAGTGATTGACATCATGAGCATCTATCCACGTAATTCGGATACGATGACATGCATCAACCAAGTCAGCGAGCCTGACCACCCGATCCCGTTAGTGGCCTTTCACGACAAGCACAGTCGCCTTTTACAAACATGGGTTGCTGAAGACCTATTCTACCCCGGATCTTCACGGGTCTCTTGGTCAGTACAAGTATGGTGGTACGTTCTTATCATCACTGTGTTATATTTTTTCACATAAGTTTTAAGTGTTTTTGACAACAACAAGCACACACACATATTAAATTTTTGGTGAAACTGTTTAGCACTGATGAAAAGAAATGACAAAATCTACAAAATATATGTTTGAAAAAAGGTTTCACATGTCGGTTATAAAGACTACCTACATTTTCATGAAAACGGCCCACAAGTCTGTTTTAGGGTATGCTACACACATCAAAAAGAGCCAGATGTAGCATCACACTTAAACGACTTTACGCTGTTATTCTGCGAGTGGTAAAGTGATGTTTGTGATTCAATGCTAAGATGATAAGTGTAAATAATCTTTTCATGCCCATGGGAAATATGAATAAAATAGCTTCAATGTTTCTTTTATGCTGCAATGATATTAAATTCAGTTAAATGGATCGCATGTCACGAAGGGAAATAACTCTGCTGAAATTTAACTTCTGTGTTCGTGTCATTTTGAAAGTTTTAGTTCAAAGTTCCAACCCGGCAATGTTTCTTTATTTTTTTACTCATACAAATACTCGGATGTTTTGAAATTTAATCACTGCTCACAGTTTCTCATCTCAACCAGAAATTGCACTCTCTTGTGAATACAAATCACATTCTGTGGATATGTTGTAATTGATCTGGTGAACTGAACCTGGACGCAACACTTGAACGAATTGTGAGCCACTCGGTTGCATTTAGAACGTTAATGCTTGGTCAAGGTGCTCAAAGATATACATGACTGGTGAAACCTGACAATCCGTTTTAAGCATGTCGTCACGAAAACTAGAAATCGCCAGTGGCTAGGCATTAATGGATGAGGTATTAACAAATTAACCTCCCTTCAACCGTATCGGTATATGGTCTCTGCTTCAACCTACACAATTTGCAACTTGTTGATGGACACGTGCTCGGGTGTGACGTCAGATGAATTACGATGGCTGTCAGTATTTCCTAAACTGGAGACACGTCATGCTTCATGTACACTCATGACGTGTGATGTACTCGGTGAAATTGACAGAAAGTGTCTTCTTGCAGATGTTGATGTGTCAGGATGCAAGTTTACATGTTCTGAACTCTACCAGATTGCCACAATTCTTGTGAAACACAAGTTCCATATGATCCTTTGTATTTCCTTTACCAGATGAGGGGGCACGGGCGGCCCAGTCGTCTAAGGCGCCGCGATTTGTTGTGCAGAGTTGCGTCCCTTGGGCACGCCAGAAACCTATGATTGTTGGTTCAAATACCGGTTCGCCCCGATTATGTTTCTAGGTTTGTCAGCACATACCCGTGCTCGTGGGTTTCACCGAAGTGGTAAACGTCTGAGACCTGCATCACTTCTGGCTTTCCTCCCACATTAAGCTGACACGCCGCGATATAACTGTAATACTGTTAAAAGCGGCGTTGAGCCCAACTCACTCACTCACTCGTATTTGTACCATGGGGTTTCGTGAACACTTGGTGTCATCACTATTTTTTAAGTGTTCCATTCATAACTATTTTGTCTTCTCTGGCGTTCACGTGTTACGTTCGCTGAGGACCAATTCCTACTCGGATTTTCAATGGAGTACTTCAAATATACGGTGACGCTACATCTGGTCGAACAGTAGGTACCCATCCGACCAGTGAAGACAATAATGAAACATAACGACGGCAGATGACGTTGATCAATATATGTATCAATTAAAGGTCACTGTTTTCACAAAAGGTAACATTGATTTTCCCGGATCGGTAGATAATTATGAGTACGTCCAACCTTGATGACAAACTGAAAAGTTACAGGGATAATCTTGGAAGTAAATGCGATATTGTTTTCTTGAGGACTACTTTAATGAGGATGACAACCTAGATTGTGGGGATGAAGGGCGGACTGACCAATCGAACAGTTCGGAAGATGATGGAGATGCAGATGGTAGTACTGAGGATAGTACTGGGGATAGTACTGTACAGTATTGTCAGTGTTGGCACTCAGTGGAGGGCGTCGGAAAACAGCCACGAGCAAAATGTAATGATTGGTTGGTTTGTTGTTTTACGCCGCACTCAGCAATATTCCAGCTATATGACGGCGGTCTGTAAATAATCGAGTCTGGACCAGACAATCCAGTGATTGACATCATGAACATCGATCCACGTAGTTGGGATCGATGAAATGCATCAACCAAGTCAGCGAGCCTGACCACTGATCCCGTTAGTCCCTTTTTACGACAACCCGGCATAGTCGCCTTTTACGGCAAGCATGCAAAATGTAATCGAACCCGGGTAATCGGCGTGACGAGCGAACGCTTTAACCACTAGGCTAGCCGACCGCCCCCCTTTTCTTAGTAAGGGTTGTGGATGCACCTGTCGGGACAGTGCTGTAGTTTGATTGGCAATAGGTTAGCTAGTCTTGGAAAGATTATTACAATGAGTCACAAGTCTCAATTAGACTTAAATAAGTCTGACATTTACTTTGATCTGACTGTTTGTCACATGTAGATAAAATCAAATCTGAGGTTATTCACTCTCATTCAGTAACAAACGTAATATTGTCTAGCAAGATGGTTTGAAAGCTTTACACAGTCTGTATGCCTTCATTTATTTTTTTTTGGATTATGTCAATAAATGACAATTTATGTCAAGTCAAAGTTTATATTTTATGTTCAATTTGACACCTATCTACAAAAACACAACTGAAAGTCTCATCGATCTGAACAAGTTAGCCCCAGTGTTTAACTCCCATTGTGTTCTTCACTAGGGAATAAACGTTATTTGGGTCACATAATATTGTTTCAAGACTTCGTGTTGTCTTTTTTATGAATAAAGCAAAAACTCCAGTTCGTCTTTTATCTTATCATGCAAGGAAGATGGGTCACATGTCTACAAGAAAAAAATTAACGTATGTAAATTGAATGTATGAACGTACACCTCAAGGTTTCATCTAGATGTGTTTAAAAGCGAAAGAATCGCATCATCAAGATTTCGATGTTCGATGCATAATCTATTTATTGAATAGGGTAGATATACAGGTATCCAAAGAGAAGAAAGAATCGGTCAGCTGTGCGATCTCAATATTATCAAAGGCAATTACCCCTTTCTTCTTGAATGTCCAATATGTTAAGTACAAAGAGATAAAGACACCAGAAATGGGCTTCACACATTGTACCCATGTCGGGAATCGAACCCGGGTCATCTGCCTGACGAGCGAACGCTTACCCACTAGGCTACCCGACCGCCCCCGTTTTCTTCTAGCTCTGAAACGTCGTGATAAAGAATAAAGAAGTTGCTATCAATTAAAGAATATCGAGGATTGTTAAGTTATGTTTTTGTTGTTCAACTACGCAATCCCAATATTTCAGCTATATGATGGCGGTCTGTAAATGATCGAATCTGGATCAGACAATCCAGTGACTGACATGAGCATCGATCTGCGCATTTGGGATACGATGACATGCATCACCCAAGTCTGCGAGCCTGACCACCCGACCTCGTTAGTGACCTCTCACGACAAGCATGGGTTGCTGAAGACAAAGTTTAACCCGGATGTTCACATGGAAGTACTGATGAGGATAGGGAGGATGCAGTTAGTGAGTTGGCTGCAAAACTATCCCGGTTGTGGGAGCCATTGCCCATGGTATCATCAGCAAGGTCTCTGAAGTTTACCACTTTGGTGAAACCCAGGTATGGTGCTGACAAACCTAGAAACATAATTAGATCGAAACGGGAATCGAACCTACAGGTCAGGTTTCTGTCACGCCTAAGGGACGCAACTCTGCACAGCGAATTGCGGAGCCTTAGACGACTGGGCCACTATTGCGCCGAACACATTGGAACAAACTCATCTGTTCTTTCTAAAATGCCGAATGTTCAAGCCGGACAGCCATGACACAAAGACCTTGAAATGACCATTAAATATATCAAATTACAACCAAACAGGAATAACGTTTCATTAATAGCACTTTATTTCTCACAACAATGGTAAAATCACGGAACATGAAACAATATTTACAATTCAACTGATCACGTGGGGTCTTCAGCCTCAAACAATTGAAACAGAATGGCACTTATATTTGCCTCGTACGGTACATGTCAACGTAGGGTGACGTGTCAATATATTCAACATGATTTCTGTAGATATCTAGATACAACACTGTTTGTGGAGGAAATGGGTTGCTGGAATGCATGTCTTAAGGTACGCATCGCCTCTATCATATCATGATTATTGACACACGTGGTTTCAATTTTACAAAAAATATGATATAAATCATAATCACATTAAAAACTCAGATTCTGGAGAAACCAAAAAGCTGTGACGGTTGCTTGCTTTAACCAAATCTCAAAACAGCTAGATATCCACACTTATTAACTTGAAACTGTTACACAAATTGTGACAATAAGTACGATTGTAAAAACAAAACAAGTCTATTGCCCTTATATCGTTACATGTATTTGGCAAAATTGGTACTCCCGTTCAAACACTCTTGTGACAATATATTCATGGGTTGACAACAACTGTTGTGCAGTCAAGATTTACTGACATCGGCAGGCAAATTACTTATATTCCCTTCGTTATCAAGTTTGTTTACTTAATTATCGGTATACATCTCTGTGAGCTGCAAAATATATAAATATATAGACGCAAGAGTATACACTTCACATCTACCGACAGTACGCGACTCTTAAGAGTCCTTGAAACCGCCCTTCAAAGCACAGGAACTCAATGATAGCGTGTATAGCATAATATATTCGTATCGAAAAAAAATCACACCCCTCTATATGTACATGTATAAAGAGGGATGTGATTTTTTTAAATATGAATATGTTATGCTATACCCGCTATCACAGAGTTCCTGTGCTTCAAAGAGGCCTTCCTTTAGTCTAAGGGACATAACTCTAGTAACAGTATCTGAAACGTCGTAAAATCAATCAAATTTGATCGCAACAACAATCTTCGCATTAGGAAATGTAATGACCAATTTCTGAGTGTGTAGGAAGTACAAAATAGTCTTATACATAGAAAGAAGATGGTATTGTGTAGATTCACCTGTAAGTTAAATCTTTACGTACTGAGAGGCAATCAATGTAATAAAAATTAATAAAAACGACAAAAAACAGTATTAGTACGGTTCTGCACTCTCGCTCCAAATAAAGTGTTATGTTTGTGAAAAAAAGATAAGCTCATATGTTTTGATGTAATAAATCAAATTTAAAGTAAAGATACTAAACTTAATTCAGTTTGTATGAGAGGCCAGAGTTGTTACACAACAATTGAGTTACAATTGTTACAACAATTACTATTACATTTTTCCAACATTTATAATTAAAAAGGATCTAACCCCAACCCAATCATTGACTAGAACTAGAAATACCTAAGCCATCTGACTTTGGGTTTGTCTGTTGTTTAACTGCAATCGGCAATATTCCAGCTATATGACAGTGGCCTGTGAGCAGAACGAGTCTCAACCAGACAAGCCAGTGATTGATATTGCGAACGACGATCCACACCATTGGGGTACATTGACACGCAATCAACTAAATCACTGAAACTGATCACCTATCAACTGAGTCCTCTCTTACGACATCTACAAAAACCCAAAGGGTATTCTCCCGTGTCCATGATCGATGTCAAGACGGACGATTTCACCGGGAGCGTCTATCCCGATTAAGGGGTGTTCAGTGTTCCTCTATATGTCCCATTAGATAAACAACATCGTTTTGTCTCCTGAAATAGGACAGTCATAATTATCTTGAAATTGCGATGTTACTTAAAACTACCAAGATGGTTTACATTTTACATGGTATTAAAATGATTAGGATTGGCAAGCGATCAGCCTATAATTACAATAATGCGAATCTAACGTTGCTTCGTCACGATATGGCTGCACTATTGCCGATGTGACGTTAAACTTTAACTCACCCACTCACTCTATCGTTGCCAAAATGATAATGAGGTTGGTAAGTCTTCTGATTGGCTGGGAGAGGGTTCACCGACAAGAGGAAAAGTTGTCACAATGATAATGAGGTTGGGAAGTCCTCTGATTGGCTGGGGGAGTGTTCGCCCACAAGAGGAAAAGTTGTCAAAATGAACATAAGGAAGGTCATACTGAGGTGGATCCGAAACATTTTTCTGCCATCCATTTTTTAGCAAGGCAGTTCCTAAAGTGATAAAATATTGATACCTGTTCATACGTTAAAAATAAAGTAACAAAGAACATGTCATCAATTTGTTGTCTAGCGTCTATTGTAACCATTATATGTAAACATAGCCTCAATAACTGAAGTGACTGTGCATGTGTACACGGGAGTAACGTAATGAGGAGGGTGTGGCAGTTGAAGTACAAGGGAATTGAGAGAGACATGACTACAGGTGAAAAGCAGAGGCTCCACAACATCAAGTGCTCAACACGACCTTGACCTTGGTGTAAGAAATGTCATATCGACATTGTTATCTGGATTTAGTATCTATTCCTAAATAAAAACATGACATTTCTCATTCATCATCTTGCCCTTTCTTACTTTTAAAATTAGAAACGTCAGTTTGAAATACCTCACAATCACACCATGATGTCACTTTGTATTTCTTTCTCAGAAAACTGATTGACTTAAATATTTATGGATATTTGAAATACAGAATAGATTCTTGTTTTTATCCATTTATCTTTACAGATCACATTTTATTCAGGGATTTATCGAGACCGGCCTAGAGGCCAATATTTGGCCGCACTTTTGCAGCAAATGTCAGTAAAAATTCCCAAATTGGAATTAAACATTTCCTAATTCATGCTCTTGTAGTTATTAATGTCATGGCTTTGTAGAGGTGACCTGTATTTCACTGATAGCACGACCACTATAGAAGAAGAAGCTTCTATGCTTAGTTTAACATTGCATTGAATCCAATGTTAAAATGAATGTGAACTTAATCAAATAACTATTGAAAAATCCCAATTCTGAACAAAATAACAAGTTTTCCCATTTGCCTGCCAAGGGCACTTAGTTTGAAAGCCTAGATAAATCCCTGTTATTCTACGTCAAACGCCATGTGGATTTTCAACAATGCTGTCAAATGTCATCCAATACAGAAATCCGGAGTAGAAGTCCCCAAGTAGTTATATAGCCACCTCGGTCTGTTGTGTCAGTCATTGTCCAGGCATTGTTATACATTCCCAGTTTGAAGCTGAGACACCGTGGATTAAGAGTAACTGGTGAATGCTAGATTGACCTACATCATAAAACATGATTCAGCATGATTAAGGTGTCTTAAATCACCTATCATAATGGACATAATTTTTCCAAGCCAAAAAATAGCTGCATAAGATATAATTTGCTTTGTGTTCAACAGGAAAACGGGTACCTAGGGCAAGGATAAATTGGGTATTTCTATACTCTTCCAAAACCTTCCATACTCCAAAACCTGTGGCCCTTCACCATCCCCAAGAATACTGTTTACATCATCTGGTTATGTGTCTTCAGAAACCTACTAGGTACCCATGTGATTATATCCAGGAAGAATGCCATCAAAATTCAGAAAAATCCTTTCACAATCCAAACTCTTCACCCTCGATTTCTGTGTCTCATTTTCCTGGTACCAGATCTCAGTTTCAGAACTCCTACGTCAAAGTGGAAAGAGGAGAGTCACATCATGGGTAAGCCTATCACAAACCAAACTCTTCACCCTCGATTTCTGTGTCTCATTTTCCTGGTACCAGATCTCAGTTTCAGAACTCCTACGTCAAAGTGGAAAGAGGAGAGTCACATCATGGGTAAGCCTATCACAAACCAAACTCTTCACCCTCGATTTCTGTGTCTCATTTTCCTGGTACCAGATCTCAGTATTAGAACTCCTACGTCAAAGTGGAAAGGGGAAAAACAGAGTGAAATCGGTTCTACCTCGTGCGGTGAAATTTTATCTCTAAACTGTTACCATGGAAACCACAAATGTTTTGAAATCACACTGAGACAATTCAGATACACCTCTCAACCATATATACATAAACACTCTATTGAGTTCATACCTCAGTCAAACACCTCATTCACGACCTCACTCACCATGCTAGCCCACGAAAACAAGAACATCAACAATATGATAAATTGTACAGCTGATTCATGAGTCAACATGCTTCCATTAACAAATTTGTACACAAAGATATAAATATCTTCAACATGTGACTGATACAGTCAAGTTCGAAAACATAATTATAAACATCATACATTTATACAGTGGTATCTTCAGACACTTATAAATTATCTATTCATAGTTCTTTGTGAATATCTTAATCTAGTCATAATCATCCGATTGTCTGAACTGCAAGGTTAAATATTTTACATATTCATGCAGTCCTTATTTCAAACAATACTTTTCAATGGGCATGAACAAATTTTAAAATAAAAAATCAATTAAAGAAGAAAATCAGTTTAGCCCATCAACACCCACTGTAATGAGTGAGTGAGTGAGTGAGATGGTTTATATTTTCAGCAATATTCCAGCCATATCACAGCAAGGGACGCCCAAAGAGGCTTCACACATTGTACCCAGGTTAAGAAACTGAACATCCTCATCATGTGGACAAGCTGTCACTTAAACCACTAGGCTACCCCACCACCCCAATGCTGAAGCTGTTCTGTCACATCATGGGTAAGCTAGGATGGTCCTGAAGCAGATGAAACAGTGGTCAACAGTGTGAACTTTTTTCCAAGTCATAGAGTATGACACGAAGAGGGGCAAGTTATTCCACAATCAGAAAAAACTTTCTAACTACTTTCAATAATACACATCCAGTGTGTGCTGCAGATAGCAAGCAACCAAGTCCTGTTCAAATGATGGTCTGTGTATTTGATTACTATCATGCTTCTCATAAGGGAAAAACAAAGAAATATGTGTGTTTCTGCTTTCCAACCAACCCTCATCTGAAGCCCCCATCTCTAAACGTTTCTTCTTGGTTTTTCCTAAAGGAGTCCCATAGCATTCCAATATTTCATGCTGCTAGCATCCCTTCGTTGGGCTTTGCAATAAACCAGTCATTATCTTCAAAATGGCAACACCTAACTGCCAGTAACAAGCAGGCTTCCACTGACACACCAAAAATTATAAAAGTAAGAGACAAAACCATGACCTACCTACCCCATTTTTGGATGGGCTGAAATACGAAACACACATGTTCTTTATGGGCCTGAGCACCTCTCAACAGGAGACCCATGTCCATGGAATGTTTGAATATTAAACTTAGGCCAGACCAATTCAGTTTCTTATGTTATGGAATTTCTTGCTCAACATGAAAAGAGGGAGGCCGAGAAATATTAAATATTTTAAATAATCTGAGATGAAATAACCTCTCTTTAAAGATGCTTTAAAACATGCAAAAAGTGCATTTTCAATCAAAACACATTTTTAATAATTTGCCTTTGCAAAATTATAGGTGGGTCTGGCCTGATATAAGCAAAAAAAATAAAATAACCAACCCTACATGACACTTTAGCATGTTGATTATTAGTTGTAATGTGAATTAAAAAACAAATAGGAAGTTATCATTTTTTTCCATTTAAAAATGCATACTGACAGTTATCTCATGAGTTTATGCTACATTCCAACATCAAAATGGCGGATCACAGTGTATGCAAGAAATTGAAGTATTGATGAGAACTGATAGTTTAACCTATCACAAAGTCAACACTGAAACTATGGTTACACAGTGTTCAAGGTGTTTATAAATATAAAGCTGCTTGTATTCATCTTAAACTGCTTCACTTTCCAGTACCTCAACGCAGTGCTCCAGCCAGGATTTAACCCAAAAGTGCTAATTGACACATTAGTTTTCGAAAAAGTGTGCACCAATATCTGACGGTGTGCCAACTGCATGATGTAGGTGACTTACATTTCATGGTTGCCTTCCCGTTCTAACCAACTTACTAATTGACAGTATTTAATGCTTCATTTGTCTGTGAAACAATGTTTCATTTCATAGATGATCCACAATTGTAGGAATAGCTATAGCCGATGACATTCTTGTTCTTAGGAACCGTGTACCGAATGAAACCTTTTGTCTCACATGCAATACCGTTTTGAAGGACTGGTTTCAAACTATATTCAGTCAAGATTTTCTATTACTGTATTCGACGTAATAAGCGCCCAGGCCACTCTCAAAATAAGAAATAGGTGGCTCTTATTAGAATATTATTTTGGTGAAAAAATCGTAAGTTGAAAGATCGTAAATTTCGTGGTTTATGCTGACAGCCTGAAATGTTTACATACGACATAACATTTTCCAGAATATAATTGCAATTAATTAATTGCCACACACTAGCCAATATATTAGGAAAATATCACCATGGGCGTTTATAAGAGCTTATAAGAGCGTTTATTACGTCGAATATGGTTTTATTATCATCATCATCATCATCATCATCATTATTATTATTATTGAAGACATGCGCCAATGTACACAAACTTGTGTTTACTCTTTGTGCCAATTTCCACATATTTTTGTGAATGCCACAAGGGCCTGGCCTGGCTGAAGCACTAGAAATGTTTGCCGATCTATCCTGTTGGTACAAGCATGAACATACTCATACATATGATGAGACAATATAATTTTGTAACCAGTTACATTAACCCTTTGCTTCGTTGACATACGATGACCGTTTCAGAAAACATGTATTTGTCTTAACATCATCTCAACCTACTGCATCAGTCGCCACTGTTTACTTACCTCTCCTTTAGTAATACCACATCTATCTGTAAGATCTTAGTTTTTGATATGATAAATATTTGCTGCAAAACATACAACTGCTATCATCTGTTTTCTCTTTTTTCTGACAAGATACTTTGAGAAACAGAATCGTCTTTTAAGAAGTCAGTTTGTTCTTTTGTCTCCTGGTCTGAGGAAATGGATTTGTCACTCTCGTCCACTGAAAACTGTCTCTGAATCTGTTTCCTCTGAACCTTTATTTCATCAATAACCACGTCTGATGCACATTCACTATTTTCTTTAACCTCAAACTCCATCTTATAAGGAATAGATTGTTCTGTCATATCAACTTCGGTAGAGTGCTCGCCTTTGGAAACACTAGCTTGGAATGAGTTACTTCCCTTGGGTGAAGCACCCGAATCAGAGTTATCTCCCTTTGAATGATTCTCCATGTCTTCTGAATTGCAAGCACTGGCATCATTGCTGTCATTGTTCGGATCTTTCTGAGATCCATTCGAGGAATTGGTATCCTTCTGGGACTGGATGAAACTGTCCCGCAGAGATGGTCGCAACAACGTTGTCCTCGAGTGTGTTGCATGATGGGTCTTCAATTCCTCTGATTTTGCGAAAGTATCACCACAGAGCCCACATATATATGGCCTTGACTGGGACAGCGTGAACGACTCAAACTGCAACACCAAACAAAAACACATAAGCGTGAATCCTAAATGCATGGGTCGATGCTCATGACATCAATCACTGGATTGTCTGGTCCAGACTCGATTATTTACAGACCGCCGTCATATAGCTGGAATATTGTTGAGCGTGGCGTTAAACAACAATCAAACACAAACAATTCAGTGGTTAAAACTGCGAACATGCCCTCGGGGTACGATGACACACAATCAACCAAATGACCGATCAGGTCTGACCACCTGATCCATTATTCAAACAGCACAGGTTAGGATAGCTCTGACAAGCAGGAGGTGCTGGGTATATGTGCCCTGTGGCTCACCTATACATAGAATATTGACCTCCTATGAGTTCCTGATGCCCCGAGTACCCACTCCACAGTCTAGTGGTAGAGCGTCCGCCCCGTGAGCGGAAGGTCCGGGGTTCGATCCCCGGCCGCGTCATACCAAAAGACGTCAAAAGATGGTACTTGTTGTTACCCTGTCTGGCGCTTGGCATTAAGGGGCTAAAACAAGGACTGGTCGGCTAGTATACTGTGTCTGAGTGGGGTATTCATGTTAAACTGAGGCATGGTATCTCAGTGAGCTAGCACTATAAATCGGCATCAGTCCAGACTAGTACAAGCAGCCACACACACACACACACACAGACACACACACAGACACACACACACACACAAAACACACACCACACACACACACAACACACACCACATACACACACACACACACACACACACACACACACGTCGCTATATAAGTTCAATAATCTTGGACGCGACGTTAAACCCCATTTCAACTCACCTCACCTGATGCCCCGAGTCATGACTACTTACCATTCTGTGGGTCTGGAGGTGTTTCTGCAGGGCCATGGCATTGGTGAAGCCGGCATCACAGTACTCACACACGTAGGGGCGCAGCTCAGCATGCGTGATTAAGTGTGACTGCAACACAAACAATCACACATCAACAAATCAGTCTGCGACAACATACCTAATTTGAATAAATTACCGAAATCACTCAGTCATCAGTCTTGATAGTCTGACCCAGTGATCAGTGTACTCGATTGGTCATCTGCCTGCGAGTGCACAGCCTTGTGTTTTGATGTGAGGTTGCATGATTAGAAACATATTCCACTAAAAATGTAACATAATATTTCATTTTTCATTTTTCATTATTTTATTCCGTGCTTGCATCGTCATCTATCATGTAGTTGTCCAATTTTCGATCACAAATGTTGACACTACTTAATTTCATTTATCCGACATACTCCTTAATCCAAAATAATCATATGCAACCAACCATGTCAGATTAACATGACTTGACTGTATATAAGCCACATTTGTTCTGGTGACAAAACCTGCCATTGAATCAAAGAGTGCAGACACACAAAGTCACGATAACATTGCTTTAAAACATGATATGCTCTTTCAAGGTAAAACCGAATGAATATGTTCTTTTTTCAACATAACCCAAGAAAATAACAGTTGATATTTTGGGTCCATGTTATTTTTCAACACAAAACCAAAATAATATTCAACTGAACTGTAGACTTCTGATGATAAAGCACTTACTTCCATCAATATCAGATGTAAAGGCAATAACAACCATTTTAGAAATAATATTGATATAGTTGGATGTGTATATGATTGTCGAATAAACGTGATAATATGTGAAGACTCAGAGATATCTTGGATTTCAAACCAAGTGCTAGGGCTGCCAAATTGGGGAAAAAATATGATATTGTTGGAAACTGGATTTTTGTTTAACATGTTCTTATTTCTGTTTATTCTGAGGAAATGGGCCATTTTTAATTCAAAATGTGGAATTTTACTACATTTGCTTCAGATTTGGGGCCAAATATCAGCCTCAGAGTAGGTCTTGATAAAACCCTGAGACTGTAATTGTTAAACAATAGAATTAGGATAATAACTACTTGCTAGATTTTGTAAAATTCTATACATCACACTGTTTGAGTTAGCAGACAACAAAGTGGGTTTTGGCAACTGTTAGTCACCCCTTGCATGTTATTCAGTTAAAGGGAGATAACTCCTTAGGTGCAATATTACTAGCTTGCATTTTGCCACAACAGCCACCAATACCAGAATCTGATACAGCTTGTCATTAGTCCAAATGTCAAATGGACCAGCAGAAACGTCTACATGGTCTAAACATCTTGTGGTCCTGACCAAAATGTATTTATAATTAGGAGATAAACATACTGTGTTTTCAATGTAGAGCTAGGTTACCTGTAGATTTAACCGCGCTAAATTGAATTTGGAACCGAACGCGCAGCGAGAGGTTTCAAATGTTAAATTTAGGTAACCTAGCTCAACATTGGAAACACAGTATGTTTATCTCCATTCTACCATGACTAAATAAAACGCGAACTCTTTGGTGTCAGCAAATATACTGAGTGAAGCGGCATGGGTTGAGTTCAGTGTTTTGAGTGGGTTATCGATCTGAATCGACGGAATCACCGAACAAAATATGGTCCTGTATATACTTAAGCAGTTTGTTTACACCGTAATACTTCACTCGAACATATGACAGGCACTGAAAGCATATAAGCAGGGCAACTTGGTAAGCTAACATGAGGTGGGCACCCCTAAAGAAAACAAAGCAAGCTTTGCAAGGCTTTCGCTCTACATCGCGCGTCACCATTATGACGTCATATCACTCATTGTGACACAAAAAATATGACGTCACAGTCGTATACAGAAAAGCGCCAAAGCTCTCTGTTGTCTCCAAAACGTAAATACATTCCCTTTGTTGATTTCTGTCATGTTTTTCTGCATGAAATGTATTGCCACATCCTTTGAATATTGTAGTAACCGCATCTGTGCATTTTGTAACCTGTAATTGTAGATATAATTATTTAAATATGCCTACAGACAACGATTGAAAATAGTACTATTCTTTGAATATTAGCTTCCGCAGTGATGCGGCCGTCAAACCAGCTGTTTCAATCAGAGGGGGTTTATTGTGATTAAATAGCCTCTGATTGACCAATCAGAATCAAATAAATTCCAAATTCATGGTAGAATAATGCTTAACAGAATTTGTGTCTACGGGGTCCTTGTCCTACTAATTTTAAACATCATGACTGAGGGGGGTCGCTGGGTTGACCTGATTCAACTGGTGAGTGAGTGAGTGAGTGAGTGAGTGAGTGAGTGAGTGAGTGAGTGAGTGAGTGAGTGAGTGAGTGAGTGAGTGAGTGAGTGAGTGAGTGAGTGAGTTGGGCTTAACGCCGCTTTTTTAACATTATTCCAGTTATATCACGGCGTGTCAGCTTAATGCGGGAGGAAAGCCCGAAGTGATGCAGGTTTCAGATGTTTACCACTTCGGTGAAACCCACGAGCACGGGTATGGTGCTGACAAACCTAGAAACATAATTGGGGCGAACCGGGATTCGAACCCACAATCATAGGTTTCTGGGGTGCCCAAGGGACGCAACTCTGCAAAGCGAATCGCGGCGCCTTAGACGACTGAGCCACCCGTGCCCCCTAACTGGTCCTTGAGAACAATTACATGACTGGGCCAATGGACAGGGTTCCCGCTGGCTTTTTAAACTGCCTGTGCCCCCAAATTTTTGTCAGTCCCAACTTTCAACAAGTAAAAAAACTTATGCAAATTACCTGGTTTTAATTTTTGCAACCTCATGTTGAATGCAATGACATCACCTCTGAAGTAAATTCTCAGAATGTACACGTCATTCACACAAAGTTCAGTCACAAAATTCTTCTTTTTTAAAAATATTTTGAAGCAAAGTCATAACAAATATAAATTTAACCTCGAAGTAAAGCGAAATGTTATTTACTTGCTCTAAAATTATACAAGGGGAAACACTGATGGTAACAACAAGCTGACTTTGTTCGAAGAAAATGTTAGTGTTTGTGTTATTTCCTCACACTAAATATATAGACAAGGGAAAACCCAGACAAGCTGACTTGGTTCGAAAAAATATATACTTATATGAATATTGCCGATGTTTTGTTAAAAAACAAAGATTTATAAGGTACTTTGTTTACCGGTGCACCCGGACTGGCAGTCACATGAATTACCAGTCCAAGCCTAATTTTAAGGGTAAAAAACTGGTAATTACCGGTAAACGGGAACACTGCACTGGACAGGCATTAATTAAACACAAGTCAAACAATGGCTACTATTGCCAGTGATGAATGTATTTCAGACACAAGATTTAGATCCATTAGCTATACCAATATCAGTGCTACAGGTACATATCTAGGATACCACAGTTCACTTAAATAGTATAGACAAGGGTCCATACCTCACTAGGACAAAAAGTCTTGGACCAGAAGCGCAAATTTGTTTAGAAATCAATATTACTTTCTCTGAACAACAATAAAGAGTTTAAAGATGAGATGAGAAAAAAGATACACAGGACAAAGCTTAATACAAGTAACTCATGCACTGACATCTATATCTTCAAATGTGAGGTAACTTATTTTCCAATAAAGCTTTATTTTTTGCCAAATTTTAATGACACTACACCAAGAATAGCCATCCAATCATCTTGCACTAGTGTGAAGAGACATTCTGTGATCAGTTATTGATAAGGGAGAAGGAGATAGTGGCATCACTTCTGAATGAAGCTGTAGAGGTTATTGGGTTCAGGGTACTTATCCTGATAGAATGGAGAATGAGAATAGAAAGTAAAACACACTTTGACTCTCAGCCCTGAAGCATAATTCATTTCTTAAATCAATAACAGCATTCCAAGTGGCTTGAAAATAAGTAGTCATGATGACACATTAATTGACACAGATTGATTATAGACTGTGTTAGAGTTGAACCTAACAAAGAAGAAGAAGAAGAAGAAGAAGAAGAAGAAGAAGAAGAAAAAGAAGAAGAAGAGTACACATTTGTCGACTATGTAGCGCATGCATGTTAAAAATTAATAGACACAAGAGCCTTTAATTTACCTATCCCAAATATAATTTGTCTGGCACATATCCAGTATATCCTTGAGAATGGAAACACGAAAGACATGTCAACAAGGTGTGACGTGCTTACAGAATGTAGAGTAATTAACTTACCCTCAGTTGGTCGAGTGACCTGAAGTTCTGCCTGCAGATACCACACTTGTGAGCTGCCTCCGAAACACCTGGGGATGTCCTTCCATCTTTAGTCACCACATTCACCGCCTCAACATTTGCAAATTTCTCTGATTCCGTTTCTGTCCCATAACGCTGAGCATCCGAATTCCCTTGTCCAATCTCAAAGATATCCAGAGGTTCTTGCTTGATTTCAACTGTCACTCGTTCATTGGAGGCTTGATCGTGTTTCTCATAGTCGGCCACCTTATTGAGATGAAAGTGGTCTTTGATGGGGCTCGCCATGCTCTCCCTTCGTTCTTGGTTCCCATCTTCCACCAGAGACTCGTCTATCATCAGCTCCCCTTCATCCTCCCCATCCTCTTCTTCATCCTCTGTATCTTTGGATGTGGACGGTCTTGGTGAATGCACATAATCTGAGCCATCACCTACACCCTTCCCTTGAAGGATTTTCAACACACTTTGAGGATCCGATGTGTCGACTCTAGCAATCTCACCACTCTTGTCCAGTCTATCAAATGTCCCCGCTGGTAACATGTCCATCTTCTCTAGGGTGGTCACATGTAGTTTAGAACGGAGATGTTTTGACAAATGTCCACGGATTCGGAAAGCGACATTGCAAAATGAGCATTTGTATGGTCGAGGGTCGTCCTTAATTGCAGCTTCTTGTTGTGATCTTAGTTCATGTTTCGCGATGTGACTTTCAGATTTCTCATGCCTCTCCAACATACCCTGGTTCTTGAAGTACATGGAGCAAACAGAACACCGGAATGGTTTGTCCATAAAATGAATGTTCCGATGCAGGGTGAGCTGATGCTGTTGGGGGAACGATTTGCTGCAGACATCACAAGCATGAGGTCCCTCTTTCTCTACCCCGAGCACCTGCACCTGTGAGTCTCCAATGAAGTACACGATCTGTTGCTGAGGGGTGGGGGCTCCCCCTGCCTCCGGAGGGCAGAGGATGATTGCTCCCTCCTTGATGACTGATGGGGAATGGAGCACTGGGCTGAGGAGCTCCTGAACCGGAACTAGAGTCACCCCAGACTTTTCAACACCTTCCGCAACTGATGCTCCTATTTCAACAGAATCTGACGCTGTTACTTTTGGAACCTTGTTGGAACAGTTTGGCTCGAGGTCCTGATTTGTCGACTCATCGGAACTTTCACTCACAACTATTGGAACTGTGGACGTGTCTGTCACAGGAACCACCACTGGAACCTTCAATGCATCTGCAAAGGAAGTGTTTCCATTCCCAGCACTGACAACAGTCTTATTCTTCTGATCTTCAGGATTGGTTGATATTGATGCGACCGGAGCTTCCCCAATGACAACACCAGGGAAGGGATGACTGAACTGAAAAGATTCCGTTGTCTTGGGCAGCTTGTACCCCCAGGAGTGGCTGTAGTTGGGCAGGACAATTGGTTCTTGTCGAATGAACTGACCCACGATTGGTCCAGTGCTAGTCTTTGTGGCTAGATCTTTAGTCACAGCTGCATATGCAGGCAGAAATGCCAGCAGTGATGGCTTCGTGATGACTGGTATGTTCATCTGCATGGCTGGGAGTGCCTTGATACTGATGTCGAAACTTGGAGTTCTGGGAGAGTCTTTACCTGGCGAGGTCTTTGAAAAGTCCATTTTCAAAGGTGAGGCCTTCTCAAACAATGTCATGGGAAAAGGTAATCCTCTTGTAGCTTGGAGACTTGCCTGCAACAATGACAATGAGAAGGAAGTAGTGCATATGCTTTGTTTAAAAAGTGATCAGGTTTAGCTAAACTTTTCTGTGTTCACTTTTCATATAAAATGGCTAAGCAGTCAAATGATTCCCCAGATTAAATGAATGAAGTTTGTCCAAGCAGTCAAACAGTTAAAATGAGAAGCTATAATATGCTCTGTGAGATACCTTTGTCAGAAGCTGTGTGATGTGATGTTTTCCATTGTCAACCTACCTCAAATCCTTTAGGTGTTGTTGGAGTAACAGCAACAATGCCTGACTTGGAGACTGATAAAACAGATTCTCCTCCTTGAGCAACCTCTATAGTCAATGGGGAGTTCTCTCCCCCTGGCTTGAGACCAGACAGAGGCTTTGTCCTTGACATCAAGGCTCCAATAAGTGAGTTTAATCTTGTAACACCTGTACATAGAAATGGTATGACAAATGACTCAGAAATTCTTAAAAATGGTATTGACAACAAAATGATGTAGAAAAAGATTAACTTAATGTTCAACAAATGAATGTATTTTGTTTTATGCCAGAATAAAAAAAATACCAGTTGGGCAAGGAAAACCTTTAGTTGATCACACACACATGCTGTCAGGGTACTTGACACACACTCAGCCCTCTTTCACAATGTGTCAACCTGACCTTATTTTAGTTGACTCTTCAGACAAACATGGGGTACTGTGGACCTATTCTACTCTGGTATCACAACAGGGTACCACCACGATCAATTTGGCATGACAGTAGCAAAGCAGAAAAACATTAAGAAGGTGAAATTCAACAATTAATCATTAGCAGTAATTAACATGTCCTCAGCAAACAATCATGTGATCATAATTTATAAGCATCAGCATCAATACATTCAAAACTTCCTCATGTTCATAGTGAAATCGACATGATGCGTTTCTAGATAAGCAGGTGTCACTGAGTTTTCAATATACCTCAAAAGTATTTGCACCTGTGCTTACCACAGTTGTTATTTGCAAAATTTTCTGTTTCCTGAGTATAAATAGAAATTACATAGACGTACTAGATGAGCATCAAACCACAAGTGTGTGAGTGAGTGAGTGGATGGGTAGTTGGGTGAGTGAGTGAGTGAGTGAGTGAGTGAGCTTCCCGTGGGAGGACAAGTGAGTGAGTAAGTAAGTAAGTGAGTGAGTGAGTGAGTGAGTGAGTGAGTGAGTGAGTGAGTGAGTGAGTGAGTGAGTGAGTGAGTGAGTGAGCTTCCCGTGGGAGGACAAGTGAGTGAGTGAGTGAGTGAGTGAGTGAGTGAGTGAGTGAGTGAGTGAGTGAGTGAGTGAGTGAGTGAGTGAGTGAGTGAGTGAGTGAGCGAGCGAGCGAGCGAGCAAGCAAGCTTCCCGTGGGAGGACAGCCCAATGATCACAGGTTTCTGGCATGCCAACGGGACACTGCGTAAATGTAAAGAATTCGGGGCTTCCAATCCAATTCTCCCAACAACATCACAGCACACACATTTGTTTTACAATCTATACAAAATACACACTGTCACTAGTAAATCAGAGATACATGGGCAGATGAACTGAAGTTTAAGCAGGAAACTTCTAGATCCACACAATTCAATACAATATCAATCATAACCCATTGTAATCAATCATCTCACTAAGTCTGGCAGTGACTCATTCATTGAACTGACTGGCATCAATGTTGGAGGATTACCTTTCTGCGAGTCTGGTGTGAGGATGCCCGACATCTGCCCGTCCCCCCCGCTGCTGTCTGCCTCGGCCTTCTTCGACAGATCCAGTAGACTCCGAGCAATCTCCGCATCAATCTTCTGTGACGTACTCAGTTCCTTCACTGCCAGGAAGACAGAACATTGGGCTGCACTGACAAGTCTTAATCATGTTTGTCAAGGCTCTTTCATCACATTTCATCAAAAGTCAAGGTGCATAGCTGGGATTTTACAAAAAGCTTTGCATCTTGAAAATCTATTTGAATTATGTTTCATAACGTCAATTCAAAAGTATTTCTGGTCCACATGATTTTTTGTCAACATCTTGGTATCATTTTTGGCATTATTACTGAAGTTAGTGGGTGAGCGTCGCTTAATGCCACATCAACAATATGGCAGCTAGCTATCCATGGTGAGTTGTACTCCAAGAACGATGTGTGCAAAACAGATATTTGGGCTCAGATTGATCAAATGTTGAAGGAGCAAGACAGTATTCAAAAACAATTAAAAACCTATGTATATTTTGCATTTGCTAACAGTGAAATATTGGTTAAGCTCACTCCTCCCCAGTACAGTGACGCTCCCTAGCCAGTACAGTGACACTCCCTAGCTAGTACAGTGACGCTCCCTAGCCAGTACAGTGACACTCCCTAGCCAGTACAGTGACACTCCCTAGCCAGTAGTGACACTCCCTAGCCAGTACAGTGACACTCCCTAGCCAGTAGTGACACTCCCTAGCCAGTACAGTGACACTCCCTAGCCAGTACAGTGACACTCCCTAGCCAGTACAGTGACACTCCCTAGCCAGTACAGTGACACTCCCTAGCCAGTAGTGACACTCCCTAGCCAGTACAGTGACACTCCCTAGCCAGTAGTGACACTCCCTAGCCAGTACAGTGACACTCCCTAGCCAGTACAAGAAGCAAGCGTCAGGTACAACATTGATGACCCCACACAGTCTGTTTGTTTGTTTGACGCCACACTCAGCAATATGTCAGCTATTTAACAACATCGTGTAAAGAATCAAGTCAGGACCAGAAAGAACAGTAATCTATATTACAAGAAACGTCCCAAGTTGCCAGGGTACTATGACACGCAATCAATCTGTCACTGCCTGTCCCCATGATCCATTAAGTTGCCTCGGACAAGAAACATTTGCTGGGGATCAATACTGGAACCCCACCTGGGTCTTACTCAGACCTGTTCTTGAACTTCTGGCATTGCAAGATGCAAATTCCTACCACAATATGTACTGATAAATATATACAAATACAGAGCTCCAGATAAGCTTTTGGTGATGTGGGTATTTTACCTATGCATTTTAAAATCATTGGGTCCCAGTAATTCTATCTGCAATTTTTTGTTATCCACTAGTTTTTAAACATGTGGGTATTTAAGTTAAATATCTAAAAACACTATTCATCTAGTCCCTGCAAACTGGTGGCGTGGAGGTTCGAGAGCTTTATAGGACTCAAAAATACCACGATACTTCCACAAGAAGGTGTGAATGCAAAGGATCATGATGTAACTGTCATCGTGGAGTTTGGCACAGTTGACGGAATTCCCGTTTATAATTTCAAAATAAGTTGCTGATTTGCTAATCAAATACACAGGGTTACTTCACAATATTTTGATGATACGCACAAGTTTTATTTTTGTAGCATATCTGTAATGTTCGTTGCGTATTTGATACGCTTGTATTTTATTTTACTGCGTATTTCTGCATTTTTGATGCGTATTTGACGCAGATAAGCAGCTTATCTGGAGCTCTGCAAATATAAACATGATATACAGGCTGAGAATGTCCTCGTCTTCAACTTTGACATTGTTGCACATAGATATATATGTCTTGTTTGGGGCTCTTTTCTCACATCAGTTAAAAAACAAAAAACAAATTTGTGAATGTTTCATCCTTGAATTATTGACGGTGACTTACACTGTGAGGAGGTGGTGGCCTGGACTGTGACGTTGTTAGCAAGACTCATCACCGTTGGCAGGCTGGAACATAATGAGAGACAGCATCAACACACATTCTAGGATACATGTGTGAATGGGTGAACGTTGATTGACACGGTCACTGTAAATGTTTGAGTCTGAACAGGGAGGCTAATAGTTCATGGCAAAAATTCACTTCATCAGGGCAGCGATCCACATCGTTGGGGTACGAGGATACGCTATCCACCCAGTCACCGAGCCTGATCATCCTAGCCATTTGTTTGGTTGTTTGTTGTTTAACGCAGCAGCCAGCAATTTTCAGCTATTTGACAGCAGTCTGAAAAGTAATCGAGTCTGGACCAGACAAGCCAGTGATCGACATCATGAGCATCGATGCACACAATTGGGATACGATGACATGTATCAACAAAGTCAGTGAGCCTGACCACCCGATCCCGTTAGTCGCCTCTTACGACAAGCATAGTCACCTCTTATGGCATGCATGGGTTGCTGAAGACCTATTCTACCCCGAATCTTCACGGAAGCTTATCCATTTGGTCGCCTCTTATGACTAGCATAGTTTTCTGGGCCCCGTTCCGCGAAAGTAGTTCCTCTACATATCATAGACTAAGTCTACAGTCGCAAAACTGTGAACAGTCTGTTGCCCGAGGTCCTAGAGACTGATTCTAACCCAGAATTGCCATGGGGTACCAAACTAGGGTTACTCGGGTACTCGGGTCGTGTGGGTCCTGAGTAGGATCCGGGTACCCACAGGTATCCCCGGACCCGTGGTTAGTCACGTGACTATATTGTTTATTGGCAAAAATAATCTAAAACTCTATGGTTACACTATAAGTGACAAATGTTCACATTCCTTTGTTCTGACTTTATTTGTTTGCATAATCATATACCTTCAGTCAACTTCAGTGTATGCATGCATGACCAGATTGGTTCATAAATACATGTATCTAAATTTATTTTGACAGAAGAATGATCAAACGTTTCCCAATTGGACACTTTGTACCTATTTCTTGAGACCTACAGCGGGTACCTGGGTAGGGTCGGGTTATAGGGGGGTGGGTACCCCGGTAGTAAATTTGGACTTGTCCCATCCCTATACCAAACCAAGGAAGACTCGTCCATAACCATGAAGCAGTCGTGTCACACTGTGCTTACCTCACATATCAATAGGTATTTTGATAACTAAGCACAATTGCAAAACTTTGTGACCATTACTTTTTGAAAAGTCTGGAGTGTATTTGGGATGTGTTGATATACTGGAGAATGGTGTCACACCTACCATCACATAGTATAAGCTGATGGACTCGGGTCTGTGCACCTACCTGCTGCTAGTGATGGCTACGGGTGTTATCTGTATGAGGGCTGGTTGGTCGCTGTCGGATACCTGAACTGCCACAAAAACAGGGGGAGACGACTCCTTCTCTCCTTCCCGGAGCTGTTCAGAACCATCCTCAAGAGTGCTAGACAGATATATACATGATATATGTTTTATTCCAAGTTACAAATAATGAAGATACAAATAATGTAACAGTTTTATCCCAGATTATCATAATACGGAAGTGATCATTAGCATTCAATGATCATTCAATGATCAACTAAGAGTGAGTGATTGCTGTTTTATGACAGTCATACCACAAACAAGGGACACTGTGCACTTACTCTTCCCTAGAATCCCTAAACAGATCTTCTGGGGATACGGGTGATAAACTTGATGAGTGAGTGAGTGAGTGAGTTTGGTTTTACGCCGCTTTTAGCAATATTCCAGCAATATCACGGCGGGGGACACCAGAAATGGGCCTCACACATTCTACCCATGTCGGGATTCGAACCCGGGTCTTCGGCGTGATGAGCAAACGCTTTAACCACTAGGCTACCCGACCGCCCCGATAAACTTGATGAGGAAACTTAGGCTAAAACATTAATCAGTTGTGCAGATAGGCGCCTCTATGTGAAAAAAAAGTTACTACATCTTGATGAGAATAATAAACGAAAGTGCTAGGTATTTTAACTGACACCTTGAAAGCAGAGATAGGTTTGATCTATAGTAGAAACAGATGATTTTCAGTGCCTTGGTGATCTACAATATTATCACTTTGGGAAGAAATACAATACTTTTTAAAAAGTTTGAAATATTATCTCTTACCTGATTTCCATTTCTTCCTCCACAACCATCTGGTTCTGCATGTCATCACCTTCATCATCAACATCGTCATCATCTTCCATGTCCTCTTCCTCATCATCTTCCTCATCGTCATCATCGTCGTCCTCCTGACCAGGAGGGTAGGTCTTGATGTCGGCAGCATCTCGTATCCGGGCCTCTTTAGCGACAGCAGATTGTGCAGCCAGAGCTTCAGAGTCTATCTGAGACTCGTCCACAGTGATAGGCACTGGAACAACTCCGATCTCCAGGCATTTCTTCTGATGGGCCTTTGATTTCATATGCTTTGTCAGATTTCCTTTTGTCTTGAATGAAAACCGACAATGCCGACAATGATACGGTCGAAAGTCTGTGTGTGTGCGAATATGCTTCTTCAACATGCTTGGTTTCTTGCATCGAATTCCACAAATTTCACAAACATACTTGCCTCGACCTCTGCCCCGGACATAAACATACTCCTCGTTCGTCTTAAAGCCTCCCTTACAGACCTGAATCCTTCTCAGACCCTTGTGTTCCTTCTTAACCATCAGCTTCTCACTCTGAAGTCGATACACCGGCTCCTTCAGCTCCTCTGTATTTGTGATAATTTCGGTTAAGTCAGCCTTGCTGCCTTTTGGTTCAGGACTTTCTTTGACCTGCAAATTGGACACGTCCTGCTTCTTCTTCTTGTACGTCCAGTACGAGCTGTGAGTGAGGATGCCCCCATTGGGCGGCGCCAAGTTGCTCTCACTGTAAACAGGGTTGCTGGTGTACCTGGACTTGTACAGAGACAGTAACATCTTGGAGGAGAGATTTGGAGGATTTGGATTGTGTTTGGCCACCCTCCAGTTGGAATACATAGAAATCTTCCTGTTCTTGCTAACAGGGACATATATCGGCTGCAGCTTCTGAACACAGCAGAACGTCACATGAGTGGAGCCCCGAAGGGAAGGGTAGGAGTGGCCATACAGGTACAGAGGAACTGCTTTGGTTGATGGTGAAGGCAGTTCTCTTGCTGTTGGTGTTGTGGGTTTAGTTGGCGTTGTCGGTGAACTACCACCCACAGCTTTTGGGCTTTCTGGAACTGTCAGCACCGACAGCTGACGGCTTGTCAAGAAAGGTTTTACATCAGTGATGGGGGTCTTCACTGGGGATGGAGATCCGGATTTTGTGATGGAGATCTGTTTTTCCAGTTTGGCTTTCAGCTGCTGAGTTGTGGATGTGTTGACACCTTTTTCATGTGGATACGTCCCCTCACTCTTCACTTCATCTGGGGAGATGATGATGGTTGGTGTTGAGGCTATTGGTGTTCTAGGGTGAGCAGTGGTTTGGGTACATGAGAAATTTCTTGGTGGAGCTGCTGGTAATGTCATGTGGAATCCTGGGATGTTAATGCTGCCATGCTGAACTAGACCACCAGTAAGGAGATTGACACTAGCTAAGGACTGGGCATACACTGCACTGGGGATCTGAGTATTAACAAAGATAGGCTGAGCCATAGCTACAGGTACCATTACATTACCAGATGACGACGTCGTCTCTCCTATTGTCACTCTTAGTATGTCATGCGAAACACTGTTAGCGTCCTCCGTTAACAATTTCAAATTTGGCATGTTAAAGAATTTGGGCAGAGTTTGACCTGCCAGTGCTTTTGGAGCATTTGGGCTGACCACTGGAGGATGCCAGGTGAAGAGTCCGGTATGTTCATTGTCAGTCAGTTTAGGAATCTTGCTAATTGAATGTTCAGGCTCTATGCACAAGGATCCCTGTTTAATTTTGATTTTCAAAGGAACAGTTCCAGGAGTAGTTGGGGTTGTGACTTCCTTCTCTTGAGACAACATTCTCTCAACACTCATGGACCTTTTCATCAGCAACTTGCCCTTCAGTTTCAGTTTCCACAAAGCCTGAGGGTCAGAGGATGTTGGCGTTTGTGGTGTCTGAGGTGTCCCAGGAGTCTGGGGGGTTTGGGGAGTTTGAGGAGTCTGGGGGGTCTGCGGAGTCTGAGCCTGAGATGAAGACGATGATGTAGCCTTACTAGAACATGACTCCTGCGTCGATGCACCTGCTTGAACTGACACCATCGGTTGTCCAATCATCAATGAACTGATGGACGATGTTGTTGTTGGGTTGGTTAGTATGGAGCTTCCTGGAAGGATGAGAGGACCTGCCTGGAGACTCGCCAGTAATAACGGAGCAGCTTGGCTGGAAGCTACACTTGATGTAGATGATATACTTGGAGTCTTGGGGGTGACCACAGCCGAACCTGGAGTTCGAGGAGATGCTGGAATGAGTGGGGTTGTGGGTGTCAACTGACTTGCAGGAGCTAGTAGTTTTGAAGCTTGTGTTGTTGCAAGCATTTGTAGGTCTTTAGGTCTGTTTTTAGAGCCTTTGGGTCTTCCTTTCTTTCTTGGATACCACCCTTCAGGAATTGCTTTTACATGTTTGAAGTCCACACCTGTCATCATGTCTGGTGCTGGTGCTGACTGCGATCTCATTAACACAGGGCCTGTTTTGGGGAAATACTTTGAAATTATTTCTTTGCCAATGGTGGCAAATTCCTCTGCTTTTATATCTGAAGCCCCAGCCCCAAAAGGATTTGATGTCCTAGTATTTTCTTGAAGCTTGCTACATGGACAGTAGAGTTTCTTGTGTATTTGAAGAGTCTGGTCCTTTTTGAAAGAAACATTACAATCTTTACACAGATAGGGTCCATAGTCGTCTGTACTCAGCTTCTCAACCTGAGTCAACATCGGAGATGATTTTGGATCAGCACTTACTGCATTCATAAATGTCTTTCCTTTCAGGAGTAAGTCCTTAATCACACTGCTCTCCTGACTTGTGTCAAGCTTGGAGAATGCTAATGAGCCTTGAAGAAGAGTTGGATCGATCTGAGCTGCTTTCCCAGTTTTAGGATCTGACTCCACTTTGACATTAATTCCTGCTGTTTTCTCCTCCTTTTGGCTTTTCAGTGCTGCCTCACTCTGCATCTTGGCCAGATTGATCTGAATCTTGATCTCCTGTCCTGACGACGTTGATGGCAGAACTCGGACCACATCTCCATCAGAGGAAGAGGAACTGTTCCTCCTCACAGCATCTCTCAGAGTTTGAATCTGACGCATCTGGGAATGTTCTTCTGCTTGTTCAGCTGTCAGTCTAGCTGCATCTCCTGACCCTTTCTCCTCAACAGTTACTTGTCGCACAAGTCCCTCCTCACCTTGAATGGGCTGTAACGGAACTGATGAGATGCTTGGAATTTGGATCTTTGAACTGGCATCACCTGCCATTGCTGCAGATGTGTTTGGTTCATTGAGTTTCCAGCTGTGGATCAAAAAGTCACTGTACTGCCTTGTGAGACCTTTGGACTTCGCCCGAGGAGGACCAGCCATGGGCATGTCTACAATAGCTGCATTTGCTTGAATAAGTTGCTGGATCCTTTCCTTGAGCATCTCTGGTGTCAGTGTTCGAGAATCAACTGACGTCGATCTTCCTACAGATGGTGCTCCTGAGGAGGATGGCGACACTGACTGTGGCAGAGTGCTGCCTCGTTGAAGTTTGGGGAAAGACTTCACCTTTCCTTGTTGATATTTTGGCAGATGGATTGTCACCTGCACTGACTTATCTGGTAAACTGTTTACGGCTGTTGACAGAGCAATACCTTCATGGGCAGCATTCTGGAACCTCTCACTCAGGTTCTCCAAATCTCTCAGAGCTTTAGTTGCAGCTTCCGGTTCTGTACATGGGTGTGGTAGGCTAACCATTTCTGCTGAGAGAACTAGAGAAGGATCTACTGACTGCTTTGGTTGAGCAGGTATCTGTTCTTGTACACTTATCACAGGTTTCTCATCAATTGGAATTTTCTCTACCTTTATAACTTCAGTGATATTTTTATCTGCTACCAGAGTAGGTGATGGAAGGGATGATAGCTTTGGTTTTGCATCAGTCTGGCTTGAAGTTGGAGTAGCAACAAGTGGCTTGATTCCGATCACCGAACTTGAAATCTGCACACCTGTGGAACCATCCGATTGGTTTGGTGAGTCCTTTGGTGCTATTCTCACCGGGAACTGACTATGAACCTGAAGCATTGCATCACTTTCTTGTTTCTTCTGTTTCTCCAGATTTTTACTCCACTCCATAAGTTTATTCCTGTCTATTTTCTGTCGGATGTCTGCAAGAATGGCTTGTTTTCTCCATGGTATTTCTTCAGAACCAGATGGCTGGAGATCCTTCTCTTCTGTACACTCCATAATAAGAGTAGGCTCCTCCACCTTTTCTTCAATCACCTCTTCATCTGTTTCAGTCCCTTCTGAGTCTTCGGATTCATCTTCAACAATATCCTCTATGACTTCGGCAACAACCACATCACCATCCTCTTTGTCCTTGACCTTGTCATCAGGACCACTATTGCTCAATCCTACCTTCAAAGCATGAGCTCTTGACTTGCAGTGCTTATACAAGTTACTCTTAGTCTTAAACGAGAAGCCGCAAGTGACACAGGGATATGGACGCTCACCAGTATGAGCACGGATATGTTTCTGTAAGACACTTGGCTTTGCACAACCACGACCACAATAGGAACAGATATGTCTTCCTGGTTTCTGAGGATGTTTCCTTTTACGCCCAACAGATGGCGTAGACTGCTGCTCTCCAAGAACAGCTGTAGGCTTCTCCTTTAAAGGCCTGATCTTAACTTCTCCAGAACTGGAATTGGAACTTCCTTCCTCTGAACCAATCTGATTAAAAGCAGGCTTTGTGTACACGAGCTTAAGGCCTTGTTCCTCAAGGGAATCAGATTTTAAATGATACTTTTCAATCCCTTTCTCAGACACAGGGATCTTAACCATATTCTGCACAGGTTCCGGAGTCTCAGATATGATGTAATGTATGTTCCCCATGTTTTCCGGCGTGAGAATGATGACTCTCTCACCGACAGTCTCGGACTCTGTCTCTGGCACTTGTCGCGTCATGTTCTGTAGCTCGGAGTCCGTCACCTGGAACAGAGCCTCCAAGGACAAGTTCCGCTTCTCGGATCCTGAAGATCCAGGCGACTGAGGTTTGGATGGATCCAGATCTTCCTCATCCCTCTGACTTCCTTTTCCCTTTCCCTTCTTGGTACCAGAACCCTTTCCTCCTGCAATAAATAACATTGAAGACCGTATTTCTTAATTGTGTTAACATTTGAATCGCAAACCCATTCCAGGCTCTTTGTTTTAGCCTGTGAATCTCCACATTTCATGTGGACCTGGCTCACAAGAGGTTGATGTTGTTGACGAGTTAGTGTTTAATTTGCATGACTTGTTAATTTAGGCTAGGTCACAATAGGATGCAATCAGATTTATTATCTTGTTTTGTGATGGGCAGTGAGGTAATTCTAGTCTTACAAATATTACTGCAAAACTTTATAATATTCTGCCAAACTCTATATTCTAATATTCTAATAAATGCCAAACAATATTACTGCAAAACTGAAAAATACAACTTTTTGAAAAAAGATACATTAAAAAGAACCACGAATCAACATGTTGATAAGGTGTATGAGACAACTCTACAATTCTGCTAGTAACAACAACCCCCACTGATCAATCTTTTTTTCTCCTTGGAACTTATACCCAGACATCTAATTGGAATCGGTTGCGGGGATAGCAAATAACATGTTCAATACTGACTTCACCATGTTCTTTGTGCAATCAATATATACCACAGTTAGTTTGGATCCTGTTTGTCCAGAAAACAGGTCATCCTCACATATACCACCCAATACTTGAAATATCCCGAAACATACAAAGGTACATTACTCAAGATCCGTCAATCTGGGCTGTGTTAAAAATCCGAGGATTTCACTGGGAACGTATAATCCACATTACTGTAATCTGTTCTAGACATGCTGGATACAAGAAATACGGTTTAATGGACACGTGTCCACTCCAACTCTTGTAACCATGGTCACTTACCTGTCTCCTGGCTCTGTTTAGCTGCAGCCCGAGGTGAACGTGGAGATTTTGGAGATTTGGACAATCCATCTCTCTTTGTAGATGACTGAGAGTCTGAGGAATCTGTCAATGAAAAAACAATTAAATACATGTAATTACCATTCCAAGGTTCAGATGGCACTGGTGGCCAAGTTGTCTAAGGTGACTTCGCTGTGCAGAGTTGCTTCCCTTGGGCATTTCAGAGTGAGTGAGTGAGTTGGGTTTAAACGCCGCTTTGAACAGTATTCCAGTTATATCATGGCATGTCAGCTTAATGTTGGAGGAAAGCAGGTCTCAGAGGTATCAGGCGTTTACCACTTCGGGGAAACCCACGAGCACAGGTATACATATCGCTGACAATTCTAGAAACATAATCGGGGCAAACCAGGATTCGAACCCACAATCATAATTTCTGTTGTGCCCAAGGGATGCAACTCTGCACAGCGAATGGCGGCACCTTAGATGACTGGGCCACCCGTGCCCCCGTGCACGCCAGAAACCTTTGATTGTGGGATAGAATCCAAGTTCTCACATTTATGTTTCTAGTTTTGTCAGCACCATACCGTTGCTTGTGGGTTTCATCAAAGTGTTAAACATCTAAGACCTGCATCGGGCCTTCCTCTCACTTCAAGCTGACATGTTGTTATATGACTGGAATACTGTTCAAACAGTGATAAACCCAACTCACTCACTCTAATTTTATCAATAACTATGTTCATGAGAGCAATTGCTCACCGTGGAAATGGTAATATGTTGAGTGAGATGGTAATATGTCTAGTCAGATGGTAATATGTCTAGTCAGATGGTATTATGATGAGTAAGATGATAATATGTCTAGTCAGATGATAATATGTTGGGCGCGATACTAATCATTGAAATGCCACCTGTCTAGGGTGCAACACATAGCAGGATACTCCCAAGGGAGCTGAGTCTGAAAATTCAATCCGAATTCATATTGATGTTGATGTTGATGTTCAAGGTCATGTTTGAGCCATAAACATGCTTCTATAAGGAGTTTACCATGTTTACGCCAATGTAAACATGGTACATTAATGCTGGTTTAAAATACCATTATGTCCCCAGCAACCGATGCTGGTCGTAAGAGACGACCAAATAGCTCTGGTAGCCAGGCACAGTGACTTGGTGATCATCCCCTGAAGGAGTAGAAACTAACTTTCTACTAGTCCTTAGGATACCTTTACTATTGGGCAGTTTGGTAAGGACTACAGGACTAGTGCCAATTTCTAACGCTGTATTAATAGCAATCACTGGATTATGTGGACCACTTTTGATTATTTACAGGCAGCTGGAATATTGCTGAGTGCAGCATTAAACATTATAACAAACAAGGACAGTTGTTATCATTACTATTAATATGGATGTTCAGGCATAATCTTCATGCTCATCTTCATTCTTAACACATTCAACATTTTGTTTGTTTGTTTATTTGTTGTTTAACGCCGCACTCAGCAACATTCCAGCTATATGACGGAGGTCCGTAAATAATAGAGTCTGGACCAGACAATCCAGTGATTGACATCATGAGCATCGAACCACGCAAGTGAGTGAGTGAGTGAGTGAGTGGTGCGTGCGTGCGTGAGTGAGTGAGTGAGTGAGTGAGTGAGTGAGTGAGTGAGTGAGTGAGTGAGTGACCAGCACATCATCAAGTCTGGACAAGGCAGTCAGCATCTGTAGCAGCTCTGCTACATCGAGCTCAGCTCCAGTTGCATTGCGTAACACCCATTGGGACACGACATCAAACATGTCAAGGCAACAATCTCATACTAATTGCAACATATCCGTGGTTGCTATGGTGACATATCTTCATAATAGCTCACCTGTACTCTTTCTTCTCTTTCCAGGTGTTTCAAAGGTGAACTCATCGTCTAAGGGACCTGCAAGTAGACACAAGGAGAATGTTCATACTATGTTCCATACAAATAACAATCAATGTTTGGCACTAACTGACCAATGACAAATTTATCATTGATAAAAAAAATGCATATTTGTGACAACTGTTATATTACTAATACTCAACTAATCTTACCTATATGATATGAATTTTAGGTTAGATGAAAGTGATTTTAAGTTTCAATAAGGCTCTATTAACAGCGATTTTGACCTTCACCCGATTAAGTGTCAGAAATTCATTAAGCCTTTATTACTGCTTATAAACAGGCGAATTATGTGGAATGTGCCAAAAGTTTTCACATATCTTGTCACGTGACACTGTGTGTCCTTGACCCTTACATGAAATGTTGATTGAAAAGAAGTTATAACTTATAAATATACAATTTCTGTTACCATGGTAAATGTCTATGGGTTTTTTTAAGGAACTACTAGTGACTGAAGACATACTGCATCAAACATAAGTCCTTTAAATAATATGACAAGAAGTATTTTGATGTAAATCGTTGCAAATATGCATGATTCCTTGTGTCATGTGAAAACCTGTCAAGGTTGGCTTCGTTAAGAACTGACTTCAACTTTTTTTGTGTTAAAGTAGGTATAAACATAAAAAGCGCTGTGCATTTTGTAAATCTGCAATGTGGATTTACGCAAAGTGTGCATGCAAAAACATATTAAAGTGAATTCTTAAAAAAATAAAAATGTCAACAATAATAACTTCACAGACTGCTTATATATCAGTGTTATTTGTGCTATCCCACATTTGTTACATTTGTGACATTTGACCACTTTCTAAATGGCATTGTGTATTCATAGCTATGACCATGCCAACTTACTCTTATCAGAGGGGTACAAAAAATATGTGATCTAGACTACCAGTTGTCGGACTTTCATTTTCTGTGGAAGCCTCAGTGGCTGAGTGGGTTAGATCGCTGACTTTGAGTGCTGGCGATTAGGTGCCTCTTTCTGAGAGTCAGTACCAGAATGAGACTCAACCCCCAAAAGTATAAGTATTTGTACTTTACTGAGAAAGAGTTATCCCAGATATAACATTTGTTGCTTATTTATTATTAACACAAACACATCTGTAGACACCAGTATGAAATCAGTGACACCGATCAGCACAATAAGCAACACAAGCCCCGCCCATTCTATCATAAACCAACCAGTAAACAGCAATCTGTTAGTGGCTGTGGCGTAATGTTTTTTTCAGTTTATGGAAACATTAATGGACAAAAATTTGTTAGCCAATCAAATACCTAGGAATCACTTACAATTTATATATTTAGAATTAACTGCATAGCAGTGAGCCAGTCAATCCGTTGACCTCAGTTGGTATCAGTAGCACAACTTCATGAGCAATGAAGATAGCTAGGTGGATTAACTTCTCGGCTGCTCATTAAAAGTGAAGATAAACTGAACGAAACCCCAGGTTCAGGTTACATACAAGCAAATCAAGATAAATATTTACATAAGATGCTGGTACCATGTTACCATGGCAATGCAGTCACTTGAGAGACTAGCATGGCTGAATCTTCCAGATTTGTTGTACTGTTGTAAACCCTTTGACTATACACGCTAGAAGCATGATAAGCACGACAAGCTTTATAGGTAAATTGTAGAATACAAACATGCAACCACAGCCTAAGCATGAGGCATGATAAAATGTTATTATCTGTGAGCAAACAGGACATATGGCCATACTAAGCCTGTTTACTGTAATAACATATTGTCATACACATTTGAATACACTCGTGTCGTGTTCCTGAACAGATCGGTCAGATTTACACTGTCCGTCACATTTACCATATGAAAAAAGAAAATATAGATGAGCATTCAGCTTTTCACTTTCAGATCAACACAGGCAAAGTTTATACAAAACAACTGCTTCTTCTGAAAACAGCCCATTTGACATCAGTGAACAGTAGGGCTGGGACGAGTCCAAATTTATTACCCGAGTACCCACCCCACTATTACCTGACCCTACCCGGGTACCCGCTGTAGGTCTCAAGAGATAGGTACAAAATGTCCGATTGGGAATAGTTTGACCGTAGCCCTGGACAATATGTATTTAGATACACGTATAAAACGATCTGGTCATGAATGCACTGAAGCTGACTGTAGTTTTATCTTTATTCAAACATATAAAAGTCAGAAGGAATGGGTGCATATAGTCAGAAAGAAATGACTTGTAGCGTAACCATATAGTTCTAGATCATTATGTCACTAAGCAATATATCACATAACTATCCGCATGACTCACCACTAACCCACCCACTAGCCCGAGTACCTGAGTTACCCATCCCAGTCCTAGTGAACAGGGTAAGACGTCAATCTACCTTTCTATAAAATTCAGTAGTTTGCAAACAACTGCAGAATTTGTACTTTTGTGACATTGAGACTCCTGACAAATCTCAGATGTTATTAATTGACTTAAAAATGACCATGATGATTCAATATTTGGTTTTGTTACAGAACAGTGAGTGAGTGAGTATGGTTTTACGCTGGTTTTAGCAATATCCTGCCACATCACGGCGGGGGACACCAGAAATGGGCTTCACACATTGTAACCATGTCTAGAATCGAACACTGGTCTTCGGCGTGACGAGCGAATTCTTCAACCACTAGGCTACCCCACCGCCCCGTTACAGAACAGTGTGGCATCGCATGCTTCTTGAGAATCTACTGTTGTACACTGGCCATACAGAAAGCCATCTTCCCTGGTTACAAGTTCCACAAGATTCCCTCACCTTAGCAGTATTGATTGTCTCCAGAACCTACACGTCGTCACACGTTGCAGACTTCACACTTAACATGTGTGGCAGATGATCTATCCAGACACTTAACTATATATCTGGTGACAAGTTTTACGGATTGTTCCAACATGAAATCAACTCTCACTGAGTACAAAAAGTGAACTCATTACTTTTGTTGGAGCCCCTAGTACCGGGCCAAAATTTCAAAAATGTTTGGCCTTGGCCAGTTTCCTGGGGGAAAAGGTGTTCTGTGGAAAGTTTGGCCTGCTTCCTTGTTTATCATCCCTTATCATCCCAAAACTAGTGCTAATGTGGTTGGAATCATTCACACTGGATAAGTAGAATTTCTCGATCAGTGGACACTTTTGTCCCCCGAATTTTCTATTACCAAATATATAAGGGTTTGAACTACTGAACATTATGAATTGTTAAACTTGCACAAGCAAAGGAAACACGCAACAGTAACTAACAATGAATGATGACCTTGACCTTAAGCATGTTTAATAGACCATCAACATTTCAAGTGGTAGGATTTGTTATTAAGATTTGCAAAGATGTGCATGGTAGCCACACCTCAGAAATTAATAATAGTATGAGTATGTTACAAAAACTTGAAAGCCGACCTTGCCCTTTGACTTATTTTGACAAAAGAAAATTTCAACAATTTCAATGTAGGGCCACACTAGGAAGAAGGCAGTGTTGTTTCTTGTCTTAAAAAACCTCTGCAAATGTGAAAAAGGAAATAAAATGTGATAAATTATTAATACATGTGTTTTTATAACATCTATCTGTGTTTGTATTTATTTTAGGAAATGAAGACAAGGATCCTTGTGAAAAAATATTTGAGAAAAAAACATGCCAAAATTTTAGGTTGTTGTTAAGACAACATAAGGATGTTTAGAACGATGTTTATTTTAGTAATTAAGTTTAAATCAACAATGTCAACTCCGACAATATAGATATTTTTCACACTTTACATGGTTCAAAATCAGACCCCAGTTTTGGCAGGACTGTCAAATTCAAGGAACCTTGACAAATTAACTGACATCATATTCAGCATGTTCAGATAATCAGGATTTTGTAAACTGATCTTAAAAGCCCCTTCATGAGAGTAGCCACAAGTGATTGAACTTTACGTGGTGTAATGGACACCAAATCAGCCCCGTGAATGGAAATCTAAATGAAACCATTCATAATTTCCCAACCTACTGTTGATATATTTAATTGCCTTTCCTATCATTCCGTTAAAGTTACGTACATCAAATAAGCAACCTGATATTTTTTTTTGTAGTTTCCAACAGACAGAATACTCAGACAATCACAATTTGGAAATGAATGGTCTTGTTTACAATCTACTGGAATGTCCAGTGGACCAGGATATTGTCGAGCTCTGTTTGACCTTCTATAGCACTCTTCTAACTAATACTTCAAATCGCAGTTAGGCTGTTGGCCTAATACATTTCTTTACCAACGGAATACAGATACAGTTATTCACAATTCTAATACCGTATTCGACGTAATAAGCGCCCAGGGCGCTCTCAAAACTAGAAATAGGGGGCTCTTATTAGAATATTATTTTGGTGGAAAAAAACAGAGTTGAAAGATAAATTCCGTGGTTTATGCCAACAGTCTGAACTGTTTATATACGACAGATATATTTTTCCAGAATTTAATTGCCCATAATTAAGGGTGCATATAACACACGAGTGCGTATTATACAGGAATAAATAAGTCTTCTGTTCATTGATCAATCGGAAGGGATGCTAATTGGGATTGTTCACTTGCCAATATATTAGCAAATATCGCCGTGGGCGCTTATTATAGCGGGGCGCTTATTATGTCGAATACAGTAAATACTTTAATCATGTTAATAGTACTTACCAACTTCCAACCTGAGTGTGAGAGTGAATGTGGGTCAATGCCACAGCTGACAATATTCCAGCTTCATCACCATGAGGGATGCATGCTCCAGGTATTTGGCAAGTTGGTTGTTTGGTTGGTTGGTTTGTTGTTTTACGCCACACTCAGCAATATTAAAGCTATATGACGGCAGTCTGTAAATAATCGAGTCTGGACCAGATAATCCATTGATTGACATCATGAACATCGATCCACGCAATTGGGATACGATGACATGCATCAACCAAGTCAGCGAGCCTGACCACCAGATCCTGTTAGTCTCCTTTTACGACAAGCATAGTCGCCTTTTACGGCAAGCATGGGTTGCTGAA